GTAAATTTAAAAATATGAACAATTTTAAAACAAATGGAGATCTATTTACCTTCTTGCAAAAAAATAATCTAGATATTTCTGATTATAAAAATTTAACACGTTTAATAACAGATACTTTTAGAATTCACTTACCTCAAACTGCGTTTGAAGAATTGCAGTATAAAATATCAAATTTTACAAAACATTTGAAATCTAGATGGATACATAATAATCGTGATAATGCAAAATTTATGAAAACTAATGAAGCGTGGTTAAATAAGAAATTTGAGATCCCAGATAGTGTATTAAATTTGATTCCTAGTTCATCTCATGTACTTCAAATACATCTAAATCTTTTGGAGAGTTAGGTGAAAGGCATAAACGGAGAAGTACGCAGGAGATAAAAAATAATCCAGAAATGATCGATTTTATTGTGGAGAAACAATTAAAATCTGACGATGCAAAATTCATATATGATTTCATTCAAAAACATCCAGAACACGTAAAACAGGTGAGACAGTTCTGTGAAGAAATTGGGAATAAAACTATATCAATCGATAAAACAACTGCACTAGCTACATTTGTTTCTGCGAAATTAACTCGACATCAATATAATGTTTTACGAAATGTTACGAAAATTGAACCTATTATATGGCCTAGTTACTTTCAAGTTCAAAAAGCAAAAAAGAGTGCTTTCCCGAATTGATTGAAATATCTGATGATGGAGTAAAAGTATCATTGCAGAGTCTTTTAAATCACACTGCTCTCAGAATCATGAAATTATTAAATTTTGGTTCAAATAATTCAAAGATCCACAAAAATTTAATAATGATATCTAAATGGGGCTGTGATGGAGCGTCTCACCAATCTCGCTATAAAATAAATTTTAACGATCTATCGAAGGATGATTCTAGTGTATTTATAAGCAGTCTTGTGCCAATAAAAATTTATAATTCTAAAAATAATAAAATATTATGGCAAACCAATTATCCTTCTTCTACCCGTTTTTGCAGACCAATCCAATTTAAATTTGTTAAAGAAGAGAAAAATGAAGTCAAATCTTGCGTAAATGACATTCAAAATCAGATATCTTTATTGACACTATCTATCTTGGGAGAGGGTATTTTTATCACACATGAACTGTTGTTAACTATGGTTTATAACAAAATATGTAATATTTTAACAGATACGAGTTCATCTATGAAATGTTACATATGTAACGCTTCTCCCAAACAGATGATTGATATCAATTCAGTCAGAATTAGAACAGTAAAAGTGGAGCATTATTCCTTCGGATTGTCATCTTTGCACTGTTGGATCAGATGCTTCGAATGTTTACAGCATATTTCATATAGACTGGATATCAAACGTTGGGCAATTAGAAATAAAAATGATAAAGAAAAAATTGATCAAAGGAAGAAAAATATACAGTCTGCTTTTAGGACACAAATGGATCTTTTAGTAGATATTGTGAAACAAGGTAAAGGCACCTCTAACAATGGTAACACAGCAAGAAAATTTTTTGGTAATCCACAACTATCAGCAGAAATTACAGGTTTAGATGAAAACTTAATAATTAGATTTTCAATTATTTTGCAGGCTATTACTAGTGGACAAAGAATTAATATATCCAAATTTACAGATTTCGCTTTTCAAACCGCTGAATTATGTTTCATTATACCCGTGATATTATATGCCAGCTTCTGTACACAAACTTCTTCTCCATGGAGGAGATATAATTAAACATGTGATAGTACCAATTGGTCAGCTATCTGAAGATGCTCTAGAAGCAAATCATAAATGTTTCAGGAAATACAGAGAAAATAATTCTCGGGAAATGTCACGAAAATGCAATAATACAAATATTTTTTACAATCTGTTAATTGCATCAGGTCCAATTATTTCATCATCACAGAAATTTATCAAGAATAAAATAAAAAATCTCTCTGAGAATGTTAAAAACTTCTTAGAATTCAATGATAATGATATAGATCCTTTTTTTTGTAACGGAGGGGAAATGCCTTTATGCATACCCCGCCTCGATGGGGTTCGAGGCGGGGCTATGTGGGACTAACCCCCCGCCTAAACAAACGGCCGGGGGACTACCCACTAAAACCCCTCCGGGTGGTCTAAGCCCGGGCGTTAATGAAGGCCTCTCCGGAAACTGGCTGTAGCACTACTTCGGAGAGGCCTTCCGCCTGCGAGCCTGTCGCTAGGGGGAGGAGCATTGTTCTCCACCCCAGAGTCCCCATTATCCTGGGGACTCCCATTCACGTTGGGGAGAGGAGGGCCCCCCCCCCTCTCTTCCACTTCCCGCCGATGGCGTTGCGGGGATGACGTGGCCGGGCCCGGGTACCCCACCCGGGTCGCCGGCCACCGGGCCCGCATTGGTTGCGGGCCCTGCGCGTTGGCAGGAAGAGTTGGCATGGACCGGAGCCAATAGGCCCCCGGTCCACCCCCCGCCCGCATCACCTCGTTGCTGGGGGGGGGTCTCGTAGGCCGCAGGGGACAATTGTCCCCGCGCCCGGCACCCCCCCCCTTTGGGGCCTCCTGGCGCGGCATTGTGTCGCCGCGCCTCTGCGGCCGGATGACGTGGAGGGTCGGCGGGTCCCGCCCGAAGGCGCTCCTCGCACACCTCTCCCGCCCCCAGCGCGGACGACGCACGCTACCGCCACGTTGGCCGCTCTAACGGCTTCCCCCCAGCTATCCCCCCCGGCCAGCACTAAAGTGTCATCGGCATAGCCGACGACGCTACAACCAGGGGGAGGGCAGTACAAAGGACTTTGTTGTACGCGAGGTTCCACAGAGTTGGGCCCAAGACTGACCCCTGTGGAACCCCGCAGTACATCCCCCTTCCGCATAGGAGTACACGGTTATCCGTGTACTCCAGCCGCCTGTCCCGGAAGTAAGTTTCCAGGATCCCCACCAGGTAGGGGGGAGGCCAAAGTTGACGGCGGCCTCCCTCACCCTGTTTCAGGGCAGGGTGTTAAACGCGTTGCGGATATCAAGAGATACCGCAATGACCACGCTGCCCTCCTCCATGATGGACTCCGCGAGGGATCTGACGCGGAAGATCGCATCGATTGTTGATCTTCCCTCACGGAATCCAAATTGATCCTGATGGAGATCCATTCCCTCCCGAGACAGATGCCAGACGAGGCGGTCTACCAGCAAGCGTTCCAACAGCTTGCCCGCCTCGTCCAGCAGGCAAATTGGCCGGTAGGCGGAAGGGAAATTCCCAGGCCTGCCCACCTTGGGGATGAGGACCAATTTGGCCCTCACTCAAGCTGGGGGGAAAAAACTTTGCCTGAGGCAGCCCGTGAAGAGCCGTCTCAAGCTCTCGGACAAGTGGGCCAAGGCAATGACCCAGACCCGGCCGGGGATACCGTCGGGGCCCGGGACCTTATTGCCCCGTAGCCCCAATCGGCGGATTACCCCGGCCATTTCGTCCTCTGTCACCTCCAGGTCCTCGGTCCACGGAGTGACGGTCTCCTGGCCGCCGCTCTCGGAAAAGGGGGGACCCTCTAGAGGAAATAGGGTCCCCAGGACATCATCGAGGACCTGGGGATCGAGAGACTCCGTCACCGGGGGCGCCCATAGCCTCAGCCTGTTTAACAGAAGCCTATACGGGCGCCCCCATGGGTCTGAGTTTAGGGAGTGAAGGAGCTCGTCCCACTCCCTAGCCTTGGCTCGTCTAATCGCGGCGCTGAGTGCGTTCCGTGCGGCTCGGAAGCACCCATACGCCGTGGCCGTCCTCTCGGCGTCTTTACGACGCCGAGCCCGGGTGAAACGGCGTCTGGCGGCTATCGAGGATCGCCGTAATTCGGCGATCTCCTCGCACCACCAGTACGCCGCCCTGCGCAGACGGGGGTTGGTCCGGGGCATCGCGAAATCACACGCGTCGCGTAATGCGCCCCGGAACCAATCTACCTCTTCCTAAATTCCCCGCCCTTCACCTCCAGGACACGGCCAGTCGGCCGCGAGGACGGCCGCGATTAGCCTGTCCGAGTTTAGCCTCTTTAGGGCCCATCTCCGTGACCGGGCATCTCTCCGCGCGGCGGCAGGAGTGGCCCAGGATAAATCCGGGACCGACTGCCACCGCACGAGGGTGCTCCTCGACCCCGTGTTCAGCAAACACAGGCCGAGTCCCGAGTTGAAGTCCCCAGCCACCAAAACGGGACGGGGCAGCTGACAGCGATAAATGTCCGCCACCCCGTCCAAGAACGCCTCATATTGGGCGAGGCCCACGTTTGGGGAGATATAACAACCCAAGACGGAGATGGGCCCCCAGCGAACCGCCACGACTCCCTTCCCCGCCTCTATCGGTGTGCAGCAAGGGAGTCGGGGGTCGTTCCTCCATGTGATCGCGACGGAGCCCGTCCGGTCCCCAGCCCAGCATGGACTGGTTTCCGGAACTTGATAGGGCTCCGCCGCGATCCCCAGTCCGCAACCACGCTCCGCCAGGGTGTGCAGGAAAAGGTCCTGCGCCCGGCGGGCGTGGTTGAGATTAGCCTGTAAGACCTTGAGGGCCGCTATTTATCGCGACCCTCAAGGTCAGCCATTCTTACCTGCGACAATGTTGTCGGAGGTGATATGGCCGTCGGCACGGCCCTGGGAGGCCTTTTCTCCTTAGGGGCCTCTTCCGAGGCCCCTTCGTCGCCCGCCCCGCGCTTGCGGGTGTCAGGCGCGGTCTCCATGATCTCGGCCAGTTTTACTGGCCGTGATCCTTCGGCGGAGGGAGGTGTTGCACGCGTCCCTTGCGCCGGCCTTTTCTTCGGGGGAGTACATTTCGCGCTCCCCACGCGATGGTCAGAGGGGCGGCCGAGTCCAGCGCATACCGGGCACCGCGCCCGCCCTGTGCAATCGCGGGCCAAGTGCCCCACCTCGCCGCATCTGTAGCAGCAGCCCCGTCTATCAATGGGGCTGCTGCAATGCTGCTGGACATGGCCCTTTTCAAGGCAGCAATAGCACTGCAAAGGGCGCTTGTCCAGCAGCTCCACCATGGCGCGGGACCACCCGATCTAGATGGCCCGTGCGTTCGCCATTCTATTGGCCGTCGCCAGGGGGCACTGCACCCATACAGTGCCCATGCCCCGGGCCGGGAACTTTATGTCCCCGACCCGGACATCTCCCGGCTGGCAATCACCCTTTGCCGCCACGGCCGACGCTATGTCGTCGGCCCGCAGCGACCTGTCGAGACCCCTCAATCGGACCTCTGCCTTCCGGACGGGGCGGGCGATCTTCACCTCCTCGTCCCCCGCGAAGACCCTGCGTAGGTCCCCGGAGAGGGCATCGGCTCTTTGGGCGGACGTTGGGCCGTTCTTCTCCCCAGAGCCGGGGAGTTCAACGACCATGGCGCCCGCGGCCGCTTCCCTAACTCGGAGGGAGTCGATCCCAAGCTTACTAAGATCGATCTCCCTCCTAGCCCTCTCCAGGGCCACCTCGTATCCCCCGTCCGCGCAGGTGATTGTCACCGCTGCGGTACAGAGGAGTCTTCTTCTAGCAGCCTCTTTCTTCGGGGGCTGCTGTCCGCCCTGTTGCTGTCGTTGCCCTCCCCTGTTTTTTGTGGCAGGGGAGGCGCGAGCAGCGGGCGGTCCTTGCCCTCCGGGCCGGGCCAATCGGTCGGCCTCGGTCCTTTAGGTTCTCCTTTCTCTCCTCCCTACGACCCGGGACCAGGGTTCTTCCTGGCCCCAGGCACGCGGGAGGGGAAGGAGGGGCCCCTGCGCACGCGGTGGCCGCTGGGTCACTCCGGGGGGTGGCATCTGCCGGCACCCGGCGCCCATACGCGAGCCCCGCTGCGGAGGGGATGGGAGAGGAAGGGGCCTCGTGCCACTCTCCCCGCCCTTATCTCCCTTTCCCTTCTTTTTCTTCGTCTTCCTCCTCTTGCCCTGCCACGGGGCCTGAGCGCCGGGGGGGAGGGAAGGAAATTCGCGGGCCGGTGGACGGTAGGCCGTCGTGGAGGGCCCACCAGGCCCACCGCGGCCCAGCGCCGCCCGCATATCAACGAGGGCGCCGATCTGTTCCGTGTACCAGTCGTACCACGATCTGGCGCCCTCGTCGTCAACTCCCGGGGGCGGCCCCCCCCCCCCCCCGCGAACCCCCCCGAGCCTTATTCAACGTTGGGGACTTAGGTCCCACGTCGCCCCGTAGATCCTCCCGGATGTACGTTGGGGACGAGGGTCCCCTACCCCCTCCTCCGTGTGGAGACGTTGGGGGCTGAAACCCCGTACCCCCCTCCCCCCCCGCCACCAGTCGTCGAGGACGAAAGTCCTCCCCCCTCGGCGGGCTTCACCACCCGTATGGGTGGGCCCACTGCTTCGATCGCTTTTATCCGAGGGGCTCCCCGCGTCCTCTTGCGCGGGGTCTCCTCGGGCGAAGCGGCAAGCTCAGGGAGGGCTTGGCGCGACGAGTCGCGTCGAGTTCCTCCCTCAACTTGAGGACCTCCTTCCGGAGGTCCTCGTTCTTGCCCGCTAGGGTCTTTAGGTCCCCACGCAGGAGGGCCAGTTCACCCGTCTCCTCCATGCGTTGGGCCCTCTTACTGAGGGTCGCCGCCGCCACTCTCATGACGGCGGCGGCCTCCCTCAGTTTCCGCTGCAAGGAGCCCTTGAGGTTCCCGGAACGCTCAGCAATGTTATCTATCGCTGCGGCCTCCTCAAGGCTCCTCGCAGCCACGTCCTGTATGGGTGCGAGGCCCAGCTCTTTCCCAGGAAGAGGGGGGAGTATCCTCTGACGGCCTTTCTGGCCCTGCCATCCCTCTCTCTCTCCCTTTTAAGAGCTGCCTCCCTCTCGCGCCTCTCGCGCAGACCTACGTGCTCCCCTGTAGTGGGGGGTCTACCTCTCCCCCTCCGTACAGGGAGCCCGTCCGGGCCCAATTCTGCGAGGTACTCCTGAGAGCCCTCGCTGCCACTGGCACTGGCATAAGGAGTCCCATGCGGCGATGTTACAGGGGACCCGCCAGTGGCTCCACCTCGTGGTGCATGCTCCGCACCCGGGCTCCTCGGGCGAGATAAGCTCTCGGCCCGAGGTTTACCCTCGTCCCTGGCGTAGGGGTGTCTACGCGCCGCCGACGTGGACCTAGCCCTCAGCTTCGCTTTCGCCGAAGCCGGGCCAGGCCGATCCACCCGGTCGACCGCCACCTTCACCTCTTTTCCCTCAACGGTTTGCCCGCGGCGCTTGTTGGCAACGCCACGGATAGCCGGTCGTTGGATGACGACGGGAGGGGAGCCGGGACTGGACCCCCCTCGCGCCGGTCGCTGTAGGTACCGAACCCCACTGCGGCAGTAAGTTTTTTCCCTTTGGTTGTACTCATCATGGAGTAACAAGAAAAGGTGGTTTAATTTCGGTGTTTTCCTTCACCTAGGCCAGTTGGCTTCACCACGCCTGACAAGCCTGGCCTGCCCGGGATTTTTTAACGAGGTTACCTACCTCACTCTCCCGCTCGGTCAATCGTCCCGTATGGAACACTCGTACGACCCACCCATCCTACCCACAGAACCCCAGATCCACCCACCCAATCCCACAAAAACCTCGCTCCCACACGCCCCCCACAACCCACAAAGCCCCCCACAAAAAACCCCCGAAAAAAAAAAGAATGTGAGAGGCAAGGGGACTCACATTAAACAAGCACCCCAAAGGAATTAGATATCTGCCAGGGTTTCGTCGTTGATCCTGGATAACGCCAAGAGCAGAAATAGATAAAAGTTAAATTTAGATTAAATAAACCGCTAACACAACATTTAAAAATACATAATGATATTAAAATAAGAAAATATATATTTTTTAAATAAAATACCTTGTTTATTTTTATAGAAGTTGATGTTTTCAGTATATCACAAATATATTTAATAATATAAAAATATATACAGTATATTCAGGAAATATGTATAGAATATTTTATAGAAAAATTTTTTTGGATTCGGTATAGTTTTGCGGAACACCTTGTATATCTAAAAATAATATTAAAATATGCACTCATCTATCTTTTATGCACTATCTTATTTATTTACATTAAATTTTGAATAATTTTATTACAAAATAAAAATACACAAGACCATATCGCCCCACTGTGCGCCGTATCGATCTCTCGCCAAATCAATCCATCTTGCCGCGTGCTGCATCCTGCACCCGCGTGTACAAAACGCCTGCGTAACGAGTTCTTCAATCTCTCGAGTCCCGCGATTTGGGCAATCAGCGATTGTCGAATCCCGATCGATAATCGTGGACATTTGATGCGACTTTGCTCTTCCAACGATTCGATATATTCGTCGCATCGTTGCTCCCACGCAACGTACTCCTCAATCGAATTCACCATGCAGATTGCTCGCGCAGATTTCGTTCGGCACTGCTTTCCGCCGTATTTCCAAATTTATGTCAAAAATTTTTGCTATCAAGCTGCGCTTATTAATAGCTCTTGTCTCAGAACTCTTGGCAAAAATACTGACAGGGTGTGCCTCTTTACCATGATTTTATATTCTATCTTGATGTCTCTTTCCATCATGTGTATTATATTTCAACTAAATCTTTATTTCACGGTTTGCCACGTACATTTTGACTAATGTCGATTATTGCATTTTTATCGTCTAGAGATAATGTCAAATCCCAGGTGCATCGCAAAAGTTTCAAATTACATGCTGCTGTCCAAGTATGTTAGTGCAATTTAACCATGAGGGTTATCCTTATATTTCACGATTTTGTCATGTTTTGACATACGCGTTTGAATTCTGATATTTATGGGTGATGTCATCGCGAAGCAGCCGCACATCGGCGCTTGGAAATTTTATATTACATTGCATTTTTTTTTGCATCCGGCTAAATCTCACACCTGGTGATGATGTCATCTCAGCCCAGATGCATCGCAAAAGTTTTAAATTACTTGTATATTAGCACAATTTAACCTTGATAATTATTCTTATATTTCACGATTTTGTCATGTTTTGACACGCGCGTTTGGATTCTGATATCTGAGATTATGTCATCGCGAAGCAGCCGCACATCAGCGCTTGAAAATTTTATATTATATTGCATTTTTTTGTATTCGGCTAAATCTGACACCTGGTGATGATGTCATCTCAGCCAAGATGCATCGCAAAAGTTTTAAATTACTTGTATATTAGCACAATTTAACCTTGATAATTATTCTTATATTTCACG